TTAGGAACTCCCAGCTTAGCCTCAGACCCAGCCTGTAAGCACATCTGTGTATGTGAGGATTTGCAGGTCCCGCGTGCGTTTCTTAGGGGACGTTGGTTTCCTACCTCAGAGTCACTGGGTACCCCTTCTGTGTTAAAATGGAAGCACTGAATCGCCTCGAACTCACTGCTCTAAAGAATGGCATGGGAATCAGAGATTGAGTTTGGTTGGAAATTAGCAGCTGAGAGATGGAGGTGCCAGGATTTTTATTTGAATGTGGCACAACAAGATTCTGTCAGCAAGCACATCATTAGAATATTGAGTTTGGAACTGCTAATTTTTCCTTTAAAATGAGCATACAGTCGTGTGTTTCATGGACCATAATAAATTGCCATTGTGTTGTCTCTGAGTTTGTTTTGATTTTTGTAACACGGGTTTGGCAGTCACTCTGCTTTTTCTCTTTCCCGTTTCTCCCCCAATCTTACATTTCCTTATTAGATCCTGAACGAAAACCAGTCAGAAGGATGCTCCTCATTCCCGCCTTCACTTTACCCTCCTCTGCACCGCTTTCTTGCTTACAGTAGCAAGACATTTGCAGATGGCTGTTGGTTACTATAAAGTACATAACAGTATTTCCTTTGTGGCAGATGGATTTAAGACTTTTAGTTCTCAATAAATGTAGGTTTACAATACATAACTTTACAGGATTTGTGTTGTATATAACAGGTTTGAACATATTATCTCAGAATTTATCTGCATGGCATTTTCAGCTTATTTGGGGTCCATGCCAGTTTTTTTTTTCTTCCTTCCTTTCTTTCTTTCTTTTTTTTTTTTTTAAGTAATAGGGAGTGCTGTGATTGATTGCAACAGCTCAAGGCGTGATTTTGAATAGAAACAAAGGGTTTGGAACAGAAGGTGTCAAATTAAACTTTGTCAGTTTGAAAAGTAGTAACATCCTGAAAGTTGTACTAATTGATTTACATGTGGCTACTGTTTATATTTTGCCCTCATTAGATGCAGTGTGATGTTGCTTGGCACATTTACTACATTTACAGTTGAGGTTGTTCCTTGTACCACTTTAGTTTTCTGAGAGCCAATTGGTCCCGTCATTTGATGAGGGCTTCTTTTGCCCCGTCTTTTCTGCCATTCAAAGAGTCGTGATCTAATTGAATTTGAGAGTAGTCTCCTGAGCCTCCTGCCTCTGGTTGTACACAGCACATCAGGTCCCAGAGACCGCTTCTAAAAGGAAAAGGCTCACATTTCACAACAAAGCTCCATGTCTCACTCTTATCTCTCCTCCTAATCAGCGTGGCACTCCTGGGGGGTTCTTGGTTTACTTGGATGTCAGCAGCACGCAGGCCTCTCCATCACCTTTCCAAATGCATCCGTTCTAATGTTTAGGGGACATCTCAGACACAGGATTGGTGAAGGAGAAGGCATTTGTGTCCTCTTCAGTTCCTTCCTTCAAATCACAGATCACCGTCATGACCAATGGAGTGAAAAGCAATAGAATCTGAGGTAGCCACAGTACTCCAAAGTATTTAGTATAGAAACAGGTTAATCATATTTTTGCCAATCCTGGTTGGGAATTTATCAGTCTATTTCTATCGTGACAAAAGAACAAGAAGGTGTCAAAAACGTGCGTTTCCCGTTATTTAAGAGATCACACACACAAACACACCCCTCTTTGTTTTCTTCCTCATTTTTTGAACCCCCTTGTGGAGTTCTAACAGTTCCCAGATGCACCGTCAGATATTTTTGCATGACGCGTCTGCTGTAGTCATTTCAGCCTGGTCCTGTCTCTAAAAGGCGGAAACACGTTTCAACTGCAGATTCATCTCATTATTTTTAGATAAGGAATTAGAAGTATTATTTAAGGGCAGAGGTTAATAGCAAAGTACTGGAAGTGTTATGTTAGTCATGGGCAATTAATAAAAATAAGGATCTGTCTGGGAAGTGCAGAGACACTGAAGTGACAATATAGACAAAATGTTTGTTGAATGAGTCAGAGTTCTCTTTCTGAAATATTTGTTAAACCCACATGAATGTGATTATTTAGGAATTAGCTGTCATTATTAGCTGGTTTAAAAGAACTAATGATTTTCTTTTCCAAAGAACATCTGTGATCCACATGTTTTTCACTTACATCCAAGTGCCAAGTGATCTCTGCCTTCCTTACAGAAGTTTCTGAAGGATGTGAGGCCATCAATGTTTTCAACACTCTCCAAGAAGCTTTTCTGACACGAATCATTCTTAATTTAACTCTTGGCAATTTTCAGCTACGTGCATTTATATCTAAAAAAAAATATTTCTAAAAAAGATAACAGCTCAGTGTTCAGTACCCAGTGGGACCAGCCAAGTCAGAACGCCTCTTCCCCTCTCCTCCAGCCTTCTCACTTCTCTGGAAGTAAATAGACCATGCTTCCAGGCATCCAGGTTGTCAGAGGTCACAGCTACAGGATGCAGACAAGCCTCCAGGGAGATGGAGACAGATCTAAGATCTACCCTGCCCCAAAATTTAGAGATGTGGTGTAAGGAAATAGCTTGGATCTAGGGAAATAGGTGATATTTTTATGACATGCTCCAGATAGCAAGAGTTTACCCATAAGAACTAAATATCTTCAGGGTAGGCATGTCTCCACTGTAAATACTCAAGGTCAGCTTTGTAGTTGATGTTCTATTCTCTCAACTAGAGCCCAGCTCTGACATCCCACCGCAGTCTGGACGTAAGCGCAGGGATCTATGGTCAAGTGAGAAGCAGCTCCAGGGCTCTGTCATCAGGGCAGATTTGTTTTTCCTTTTTAGTGGCTATTCTTTCAGGTTAAATCTTCAGGGTACTGCCCCTTCTCATCTTGAATTATATGTTCAGTAGTATTGAATGAAAGCATTATCACATGACCATTCATATATGTGTGTGTGCGTGTGTATACACACAGATATGTGAGCATTCACATATATATATGTACACACACACACACACACACACACACACACATATACACACTTGAACATTTATTTGTGTGTGTGTGTATTTGCTTAATTAAAAACAACTGTTAAAGGATCCCATCTTCCTTAGAGGCACTTGGCTGGTGTGTGTACAGCCCTGGGTTCTATACTGAACCCCCCAAAAAACAAAGCAACAGTAAAGCCTGTACACCTCACCAAGAATCGTGGGTATTCTGGCCGGCTGGTAGGAAGCTGATATGTCAGCCCTGTCTTTTCTTTTGCAGTCTCTCAGACAATCTTTCAGACCAACTGTAGAGAAGAATGCCTTGTTCTCTTTCACCATTATCACAAATAGAAGCTCCTTTTGAAAGGTTCACCCAGTTTGAAGACAGAAAGACATACAGTCGTCTGGTTTCATCTTGCAGTAACAGAAAAAGCAGACCCCTCTGTGCATAGATCTAAAATTCACATGATAGAGGCACAGTGTCCTGTGCCTTCATTTTAGAGCAGTTCCCAAAGGCAGAGCCCCAGCGGGTTTCCTGCTCAGGGAATGAGGGAGAATGGCGGGAAGGAAGGACATAGAGTGACCTCAGGTAGAGGTCTGTGGGGGAGGAGAAGAACGAGGAAGAGCATCTCTGGAGAGTGCACAGGATGGGAGTGCTGTCCATGGCACAGGACAGTGTACCAGTTTGTGTGCCAATCACAGGTCACGGGGGGCAGCGGTGAGGGAGTGGCGCTGCCCCCAGTGTGTCCGGGTGAGGCGTCTCCAGACAGTCCGGTGAGAGGTGGCAGTGTGGGCTCCGTTGGACACTGTCCCTCCCTCCCTCCTACCCCATTGTTTCCGGTCCCGGGGGGCGGGTGGGACTAAAGGTGGAGATGGCGGTAGGAGTCATCTGTTGAACCATTCAGACAGTGAAGACTTGAGAATCACGCTGGGTCAGACTGGGTCCTCGACAGAGTTTGCCCTTCACTCTTTACCCTAAAAACTGACTAAAGTTCTTGCCTGACAATTCATACGCATGTGCCAGAGCTGACAAAAAAGCAGGACTCTGAGGCTCCCTTTAAGAAAGGGCCTTGTTGAAGAACTCTGCTAATGCCCATGGTAATAAAGACAATGTATTCATGCCCAAGCATGCAGGCAGGTG